TTAGACTTCGGGAGAATTTTCTTGGCGTAGTTTGCGAGCTCCCGAAGGCTAAAGAAAAGCACACAATCCTTTTGGAAATTGAAGCAAATACCGAATGAAAGCCCGCATTCATTCACTCTATGGTGTCAGAGGGAGATGCTGGATGTGAAGGATCTACGACCCAACATGGTGCAAGATGCCTTAACCCTAGGCCTGAAGTCCAAAAGATTATATTTCAACCTCAGCTTAGAGGAACCCCATGGTTTGGCCAAATTTCTATAGTTGGGCAATAAGTATATTAACCTCTATGAGAACATTGTTTAGCACAGACCGTCAAATTGCCGCTCCTAGAAGAGTCTCCTATAGAATAGTGGGTGGAAGCTAAAGGCAAATTAACAACCATTCGTTCATTCCTGGCATAATGACCACCAAATACCTTGTGATAACGGGGGAACTATGCAGAATAATAATCAAGGTGGTCAAGCAAGGAACAATAATCAAAGACCAATCGACCACTACGAGCGACCAGATTAGTACTATGAGAGCTCCATCCAACACTATGAGTAGTAGCCAGACGATTATGAGGGTCTTTAACCCACACAATTAAGAGTTTTTATGGTGGAGATAGTGGTCGCCATTCTGAAAAAATGAGTAGTTTAAGAAGACACCACCAATAAGGGCTGGAACTTTCCTCCGGAATCTAAAGAAATACTGTAGATACCATCGAGATCACGTCCATGCCACAAAGGAATGTAAAAAACCTCCAAATTTTGATCAAGGAACTAATCAGGGCAGAAAAATTAAAGGATTTTGTAGCACCTGGAGTTGCGATACAGAGGCATCGAAAGACCCCTATTGTAGAAGCTCCGGACGAGCCTATCAAGGAAAATATTGTTCATATTACAAAAACTTCCCAACCATTTTTGGGGGGAAGTGATTCATCTCGGTGGGCCTCCTAAAAAAGGCCTTGGTCAAGGAATTATGCAGCGTCAGAAGAGAAGAATTTGTCTTCTCATCACGTTTACCAATGTAGATCTATCTCAAAGAGAGAATCCCTACAACAATGTTATTGGTGTAACGACTATAATCGACAATTATCAATAAGAAGTGCCTTGATTGACAATGGTAGCTTCATGAACATAGTGTTTAAATAAGTGTTCAACAAGTTAAGCCTTCCAATCTACCGGCTAGTGGTACTGCCTTGTATGGCTTTTCAGGAGAAAAGAAAGAAGCCATGGAAATAATGCCACTGATAGTCACCTGGGGAGAAGGTGGAAAGCAATTCACCCACACAAAAAATTTTCTTATAGTGGACTCGACACCCATTTTCAACACAATCTTTTGCCGCGCAATGCTAAAAAACTTCAAGCCTATGGTGTCCACATACCACGAGGTGATCCAATTCTCTAGAGAAGGATAGACAATCACCATCCGGGGAGATCTGGAGCAGTCCTGACCCTGTTAACTACGATCAGTATGAAGCGTGGAGCAGAAGCTACTCTTACAATATTTGAAATTTTTTTTCATTTTATTATTGCAGTTTAAACCCCAGCAATTAAATTTTGTTTTATTTTCATATATAGTAACAAAAGAAGCTTTTCAGCAATATCTATAAGGAGAGTGGAGTTCTGACTTAGGAACCATTTGAGGTAGGTTATAGGCGCGAGCGGCGTTTTGAAAACCCAGCCTCGTCGTTTGGTTCGTGCTTTTGGGAAGCTTATTGAGAAATATTTTTTTTTTGTTTCCTCAATAGACGGGGTCGCGGGATTGACTCCGTCGCCGGCATCTTGAATCCACGTTCGATGGGTTGTACAACCCCTCTTAAGTAGAGGTGAAACATGTAATTTTACAAATTTTTTCCCTCTATCTCCTATTAATAGGGGATCAGATCATGTATTAGGAGCTTTTGACTCTTCTCTTTATACCTTTCTTTTCTATGGAGTCTCTCTCCTCCTCTTTGTAACATTTATATTCGATATATAAAAAGAGTCACAAGAGCCCAAAAATAACCCATTTTGTCCCATTGTGGTACGCCGATGTGCATTCATATTCTCTTTCCTCCCTCTCGTTCTCACTTTTTTTCTTCTCTTTGATTCATACCACTCTATTCCTCGAGCATGTCACATGATAAATCTGGTTTCAACATATAGTTTCTTTATTGCGAGCGTTAACGAGCCAAACACTTGTGATTCCAAATCATTTATAATTCAAGCTTAAAAATTTTTTTCATACTCAACCTGCTTATTTATGGAACAATTTAGATAACATCTATTGAAACAAACAACACTAAAATTTTTTTAAAAAAATAATCATCAAAATGACGGGGCGGGCGAGTAAGCATTATTATATAAAGGAATCTTGTGAATCATAGTGACCCTTCTAGAGTGCGAGACTGACTACAATTAATTGAAAATTTTGGCTTAGATATCATGACATTTAACCTAGTTTGATATGTATGAATGATAAAAAGTTAAGTAAAACTTATTTGAACCTCCACCATTCGTATGCAATAAAAGATGTAAAATTGCATTAGCAATGGTGATTTAAATTGAAATATAATATATAAATATTTATATTGTATACCAAAAATATGCCCTTGATGATTTTTAATAGTTCTAAAGGTACCGAAAAATCAACCCGACTGACTGAAGGCCATCCAACATACGTAAGGGCTGTCGATTGACCAAATGCAAGCTTAGCCTACCAAAGGGTTGCTGGTCGACCAAATGCAAGCCCAATCGACTGAAGTCCATCCAATCGTCTGAAAGGTAGCGAGCCAACCCAAAAGAGTATAACACCCTATACACCCCCTCTCAAGTAGAGGCAAAACATATAAGTTTACAATTTTATCTTTCTATCTTCTATTAATTGGAAGATCAATCATTTACTAGGAGCTTTTAGCTCTTCTCTTTAGACCCTCCTATAAGAAGTCTCTTTTCTCCTCTCCATGTAACCTCCATATTTGATATATAAAAAGAGTCACAAGAATCCGAGAATACTACATCTTGCCCCAAAAGGGGCACATCGATGTGTGTTCCTTCTCATTACCTCTCTATCTCCCTTTTCTCTCCTCTCTAGCTCATATCACTCTATTTCTCGGGCATTTCACCTGACAAATCTGGTTTAAACATATAATTTCTTTATTGCGAGCTTCAACGAGTCACACATGTGTCCAAGTCATTTGTAATTTAAACTTAAAAAATTTATTCGTACTCGAATTGCTTATTTATCGAACAATTTAAATAATAGCTATTCAAACAAACAACTGTAATTTACTTAAAAAAAATGATCGTCGAAATGACGGGGCGGGCGAGTTGGCATTATTATACAAATGAATCTTGTTAATCACTTCTTGGATGATAGTGACCCTTCCAGACTGCGATATTGTGTACAATTAATAGAAAATTTTGGCTTAAATATCATGGCATTTAACATAGTTCAATAGGTAAGAATGATAAAAAAAATTAATTAAAACTTTTTGAGCCTCCACCATTCATATGCAATAAAAGACGTAAAATCTCAGTCATACAAGCAGTGATGATTTAAATTTAATTATGATATATAGATTTATATTGTACATTAAATATGTGTCTGTGATGATTCTTAACTGTTCTAACGGTGCCGAAACATCAACCTGACCGAATGAAGGCCATCCAACAGACCAAAGGGCCGTCGGTTGACCAAGTGCAAGCCCAACCTACCGAAGGGCTATTGGTCGATTGAAGGCAAGCCCAACCGACCAATGATCTGTCAGCCAACTCAAGGACCTGTCAAGGAAAAGCTCCACACATGCAAAAAGACCATAATACTCTACACACCGCCTCTCAATTAGGGGCAAAACATGTAATTTTACAATTTTGTCTCTCTATCTTCTATTATTTGTGAGATCATATCATTCATTGGAAGCTTTTAGCACTTCTCTTTAGACCTTTCTTCTATAAGGAGTCTCTTACCTCTTATCTTTGTAATAACATCCATATTCGATTCATGAAAAGAGTCGTAAGAATCCTAGAATACCCCATTTTGCCCCATATGGACACATCGTCCTGCATTCCTTCTCTTTCCC